TGGGGGCCCCTAGAAATGAAAAACGTACAAACTCCAAAACACATTCCTAGCGTTAACTGAACTTCCAAAACAGCTACCTAGATCACTTAAATTACACAATCGAATTCATATGTCTATTGTTTTTGTATTAATACACAAAAACTCATATACACACAAAAACTCATATATATATATATATATATATATGCAGGTTTAGTCCTACAAAACTGTTTGGGGTAACAACCTTTTGGGTATGGTTGCTATTGTTCCCACGTAATGCAGTCAATGGTAAAAAATAAATATATGTTATGAGCTTTTTTATCAATTTAAAAACACTTTATCAGCCATTTTGCAATCAGCTGGTTTATAATAAACAAATCTCCATGGCAGTTTTGCATAAGCAAAGTGTTTCTATAATAAATGCAGACAAACAAGCACTGACCTTATTAGTTTTGTCTGTGCATGGCATTAGAACAAGTCAGGATGAAATAAGAGCAAAATGTAGCCAGCATAGAAGGCTCATCTCTGACATCTCGAGTTGTTTCCGTCTGTTTGACATTGGACTCTTTTAATTACGCCATCTCTGTTGCAGTCACTTATTCTGTAATGGCTTAACTGTTGGTCCAACTGACCCCAGTTTGACCAGCTCCTCCTGCTATGGATGTGGATGAAAATAATTTGTATATTATTGAAAACTAACTTAGTGGAAAGATGGACACAAATTACACCCAGACCCAATTGCAAACTTTACAGCAAAAACATCATAAATAAATCTTTGCATCACTTAAAATTGTACCTTTTAAAACTCTGTAGGTTGTAGTTGCCAGATTCTAAGACTTTGGTTCTTGCTTCACGCAGCAGAAACACAATGTGGAAGATGAAAAGATGCAGGAGGAAAGTTACTTAAGCTGAATGAACAAATATGGACTGTTAAATTATTCTAGAAGTTCATGTTTTATGCGCTGATGATGGTGAATGATTTTATGACCTTGCAAGTTTGAATGGCACTCTACTTTCAGATATCTTCTAAAAGAAACGACTCTTTTGTGTGGAGGTAAAATGGCTCAGGGCTTGGGTAACGTGTTGTTTAACAGAGAAAAGGACACTTACCTGCCTGTGCAAGGGTCAGTGAATCATTTCAGCAAGGGCTGAACAGCTCAGACTTCCCAGAAGCAACGTGACAGTACACCTGCTCACACTGGCAGAGTGTAAAAAATGATTCGAAAAGGTTCATTTTGCATTGTTACAAAATACAAATATACATACCAATCAGAAAGGTGTCGTTTGAAATGTGATTTTCTTTTTTCTGTATTAGTGTGTCCTCAAATATCAGGCTTTATAGGACTGCTTGAATTTTCATAAATTACAGATACTTATTCAGTTGTATTAATTTCATGTTGAAGTTTTTAGTTTTTGAGATACTTATGTTCAAACATAGCTTCAGATTTTAAAACGTGAGAATAACACGCTGGAATTCGGTCCATTTAAAAACATGCCTCTTGCAAACTATTTGAAATATGAAGCTAAAATTTCACAAATCTGTATGTATGGCCAAATTAAGGACATATAATAATTTTATCTTGGAGTTTTCTGAATTGTTAGCTAAGGCTACGTTCACGCTGCAGGTGAAAGCGCATCAAATCCGACTTTTCTGACCCTATGCGACCTATCCAAGGGCGTAGATTTGGCATGGACGGAAGGAACGTGTCCCCACCAATAATTTGATTTCTTCGAGTAAAGAAATCAAACCCGATAGAAAGAAAAAAAAAAAGCGGAGCAGAAAGAGTTAAATTAGTTCTCTACTGGAGTCCTACCTCATGTGACAAATATGGCCAATGTGATTGGCTGAGCCTTTCAGGGAGCTCTGTTTAGTTT